GTCCATTAACACAGATGCTACTTATATTTGCACATGTAATTCTGGATATACAGGAGACGGGTTTAACTGCACAGGTTATACAACGGAGATAATAATATTTTTAACAAATGTTTTAGTAAAAAATATAGGAGTGAAAAACAAAAATTTTACGGCATTCGTTTCACATGTTGACGAATGCAAAAGATCTCCCCAAGTCAATTAATCCAATGCTACGTGCAATAACACTTAGGGATCTTATATTTGCACATGTAATTCTGGATATACAGGAGACGGGTTTTAATTGCACAGGTTATACAACGGAGATAATATTTTTCACAAAGTTCGAGTAAAACATACAACAAAAATTTGCTTCAACTGATATTTTAGATGTTGACGAATGCGTAACATCCCCATGTCATTCTAATGCTACGTGCAATAACACAGATGGATCTTATATTTGCACATGTGATTCTGGATATTCTGGAGATGGATTTACTTGCACAGGTAAGACAACAGAAATATTTTTCACCAAATCTCAAGTAAAAAAGAGTAAATGGAGAATAATAAAATGCTATAACGGGTATTTCAGAAATAATGTTTTTCACAAATGTTTGAGTAAAACACAACAAAAAAAATGAAAATGCTACAACAGCCATTTCAGATTTTGACGAATTTGTAAAATTTTCTCCATGTCTTTCCAATGCCATGTCCATTAACACAAATGCATCTTATATCTGCACATGTATTTTTTGATATACATGAGACGGGTTTAACTGCACAGGTTATAGCTACAACGGAGATAATATATATTTTTACCAAATGTTTTAGTAAAAAATAGTAGAGTGAAAAACAAAAATTTTACGGCATTCATTTCACATGTTGACGAATGCATATAACATCTCCCCTATGTCATTCCAATGGTACGTGCAATAACACTGACGGATCTTGTATTTGCACATGTAATTCTTGATATACAGGAGACGGGTTTAACTGCACAGGTTATACAACGGAGATAATAATATTTTAAACAAATGTTTTAGTAAAAAATAGTAGAGTGAAAAACAAAAATTTTACGGCATTCATTTCACATGTTGACGAATGCAAAACATGTCCCCCATGTCAATCGAATGCTACGGTGCAATAACACTGACGGATCTTATATTTGCACATGGAATTCTGGATATACAGGAGACGGGTTTTAATTGCACAGGTTATACAACGGAGATAATGTTGTTCACAAAGTTCGAGTAAAACACAAAAAAATAATATTGCTTGAACTGCCATTTTAGATGTTGATGAATGCGTAACATCCCCATGCCATTCCATTGCTACGTGCAATAACACAGATGGATCTTATATTTGCACATGTGATTCTGGATATTCTGGAGATGGATTTAATTGCACAGGTAAGACAGCAGAAAAAGTTTTTACCAAATGTCAAGTTAAAAAGAGTAAATGGAAAGTAATAAGATGCTTCAACGGTTTTTTCGGAAATAATGTTTTTCACAAATGTTTGAGTAAAACACAACAAAAAAAATGAAAATGCTACAACAGCCATTTCAGATGTTGACGAATGCGTAACCTTCTTCCCATGTCTTTCCAATGCTACGTCCATTAACACACATGCATCTTATATTTGCACCTGTAAGTCTTGATATACAGGAGACGGGTTTAACTGCACAGGTTATACAACGGAGATAATATATATTTTTAACAATTTTTTTAGTAAAAAATATTAGAGTGAAAAACAAAAACTTTACGGCATTTATTTCACATGTTGACGAATGCATAACATCTCCCCATGTCAATCCAATGCTACTAGCAATAACACTGAGGGATCTTATATTTGCACATGGAATTCTGGATGTACAGGAGACGGGTTTTAATTGCACAGGTTATACAACGGAGATAATGTTGTTCACAAAGTTCGAGTAAAACACAAAAAAGTAATATTGCTTGAACTGCCATTTTAGATGTTGATGAATGCGTAACACCCCCATGTCATTCCAATGCTACGTGCAATAACACAGATGGATCTTATATTTGCACATGTGATTCTGGATATTCTGGAGATGGATTTACTTGCACAGGTAAGACAGCAGAAAAAGTTTTTACCAAATGTCAAGTTAAAAAGAGTAAATGGAAAGTAATAAGATGCTTCAACGGTTTTTTCGGAAATAATGTTTTTCACAAATGTTTGAGTAAAACACAACAAAAAAATGAAAATGCTACAACAGCCATTTCAGATGTTGACGAATGCGTAACCTTCCTCTCATGTCTTTCCAATGCTACGTCCATTAACACAGATGCATCTTATATTTGCACATGTAATTCTGGATATACAGGAGACGGGTTTAACAGCACAGGTTATACAACTGAGATAATAATATTTTTAACAATTGTTTTGATAAAAATAGTAGAGTGAAAAACAAAAATTTTACGGCATTCGTTTCACATGTTGACGAATGCAAAAGATCTCCCCATGTCAATTAATCCAATGCTACGTGCAATAACACTTAGGGATCTTATATTTGCACATGTAATTCTGGATATACAGGAGACGGGTTTTAATTGCACAGGTTATACAACGGAGATAATATTTTTCGAAAAGTTCGAGTAAAACATACAACAAAAATTTGCTTCAACTGATATTTTAGATGTTGACGAATGCGTAACATCCCCATGTCATTCTAATGCTACGTGCAATAACACAGATGGATCTTATATTTGCACATGTGATTCTGGATATTCTGGGGATGGATTTACTTGCACAGGTAAGACAACAGAAATATTTTTCACCAAATCTCAAGTAAAAAAGAGTAAATGGAGAATAATAAAATGCTATAACGGGTATTTCAGAAATAATGTTTTTCACAAATGTTTGAGTAAAACACAACAAAAAAATGAAAATGCTACAACAGCCATTTCAGATGTTGACGAATGCGTAACCTTCCTCCCATGTCTTTCCAATGCTACGTCCATTAACACAGATGCATCTTATATTTGCACATGTAATTCTGGATATACAGGAGACGGGTTTAACAGCACAGGTTATACAACTGAGATAATAATATTTTTAACAATTGTTTTGATAAAAAATAGTAGAGTGAAAAACAAAAATTTTACGGCATTCGTTTCACATGTTGACGAATGCAAAAGATCTCCCCATGTCAATTAATCCAATGCTACGTGCAATAACACTTAGGGATCTTATATTTGCACATGTAATTCTGGATATACAGGAGACGGGTTTTAATTGCACAGGTTATACAACGGAGATAATATTTTTCGAAAAGTTCGAGTAAAACATACAACAAAAATTTGCTTCAACTGATATTTTAGATGTTGACGAATGCGTAACATCCCCATGTCATTCTAATGCTACGTGCAATAACACAGATGGATCTTATATTTGCACATGTGATTCTGGATATTCTGGGGATGGATTTACTTGCACAGGTAAGACAACAGAAATATTTTTCACCAAATCTCAAGTAAAAAGAGTAAATGGAGAATAATAAAATGCTATAACGGGTATTTCAGAAATAATGTTTTTCACAAATGTTTGAGTAAAACACAACAAAAAAATGAAAATGCTACAATAGCCATTTCAGATTTTTACGAATTTGTAAAATTTTCTCCATGTCTTTCCAATGCCATGTCCATTAACACAAATGCATCTTATATCTGCACATGTATTTCTTGATATACATGAGACGGGTTTAACTGCACAGGTTATAGCTACAACGGAGATAATATATATTTTTACCAAATGTTTTAGTAAAAAATACTACAGTGTAAACAAAATTTTACGGCATTCATTTCACATGTTGACGAATGCATATAACATCTCCCCTATGTCATTCCAATGGTACGTGCAATAACACTGACGGATCTTAATTTGCACATGTAATTCTTGATATACAGGAGACGGGTTTAACTGCACAGGTTATACAACGGAGATAATAATATTTTAAACAAATGTTTTAGTAAAAAAATAGTAGAGTGAAAAACAAAAATTTTACGGCATTCATTTCACATGTTGACGAATGCAAAACATGTCCCCCATGTCAATCGAATGCTACGGTGCAATAACACTGACGGATCTTATATTTGCACATGGAATTCTTGATATACAGGAGACGGGTTTTAATTGCACAGGTTATACAACGGAGATAATGTTGTTCACAAAGTTCGAGTAAAACACAAAAAAATAATATTGCTTGAACTGCCATTTTAGATGTTGATGAATGCGTAACATCCCCATGTCATTCCAATGCTACGTGCAATAACACAGATGGATCTTATATTTGCACATGTGATTCTGGATATTCTGGAGATGGATTTAATTGCACAGGTAGGACAACAGAAATATTTTTCACCAAATTTTAAGTAAAGAGTAAATGGAAAATAATAAAATGCTACAACAGTTATTTCAGAAATTATGTTTTTCACAAATGTTTGAGTAAAACACAACAAAAAAATGAAAATGCTACAACAGCCATTTCAGATGTTGACGAATGCGTATCCTTCCTCCCATTTTTTTCCAATGCTACGTCCATTAACACAGATGCATCTTATATTTGCACATGTAATTCTGGATATACAGGAGACGGGTTTAACTGCACAGGTTATACAACGGAGATAATAATATTTTTAACAAATGTTTTAGTAAAAAATATAGGAGTGAAAAACAAAAATTTTACGGCATTCGTTTCACATGTTGACGAATGCAAAAGATCTCCCCAAGTCAATTAATCCAATGCTACGTGCAATAACACTTAGGGATCTTATATTTGCACATGTAATTCTGGATATACAGGAGACGGGTTTTAATTGCACAGGTTATACAACGGAGATAATGTTTTTCACAAAGTTCGAGTAAAACATACAACAAAAATTTGCTTCAACTGATATTTTAGATATTGACGAATGCGTAACATCCCCATGTCATTCTAATGCTACGTGCAATAACACAGATGGATCTTATATTTGCACATGTGATTCTGGATATTCTGGAGATGGATTTACTTGCACAGGTAAGACAGAAGAAATAGTTTTTATCGCTTCCCTTCATATCTAAAAGATACCTTGTCATGACGAGCTCTGTTTTCTGTGTTCTAGATCTCGTACAAAAACAACTCAGACACAGAGTTGGAATAATTTTGGCAATGTGCGTAATTGTCTAACGCACATGCCGATTTATTAATTTTTACTTAACAACAAATTAATTATTAATCAACAAACAATAAATTCAATTACTAAACAATTTGCACAGAAAAGGTGGGGCTAATTTAAACGCGACAAGGCTCCTTGGGTAAAGGAGACAAACCCCATCCCGTCATGACAAGGTATCCACAGACAGACTTGTAAAATCAGCAAAACAAATAATATATAAAACATGCATATAAGAAACCCACATATAAGAATCGCAGCAAGGAAAAGGTACAGATCTCCAACCAGTCGTGCCCCTGCATTGACAGGCCGAGTATCTGCAACCTGAGTCGCCAATATGAAAATAGTGATATGAGGTAGAGGAGCGCTAGCTTTACCCCTGTATCAGCATTGCGCCCGATTACCAATGAGTCTCATCGTAGTTATCGTAGTTGCAACGAATATGGGATATAACGAAATAAGTACGAACTAAGAAGTGTGCAGCCAAGGTCAACCCCCACCAGGCACGGCAATAAATGACTCATGTCGACATATGATGCGAAATAGGTCGCGAAGATAAGTTTGGACTACGAATGTACTTGCGGAATGCGTTGGATTTCCACCTACCCATTACTCTGATTTGAGCGTCAGAAAAACCGCATTCCGCAGCGAAAGTAGCTGCACCAATTCGAAAACTGTGCCCCTTATACTTAGTAGGGTCAAGACCACATGCACGAAAAATCAAAGCCAAATGCTCAGTAAATAGTCTGCGTGTTACTGCGCGCCCATCGAGAGTGCGAAAAAGTGGGCCATCGGATAAACCGCGACGCGCAAAATAGTCGAGTAATGTCTGCACAGGGCAAATATCGGAACGGTGGTGAAGTGTAAGAGAAACACGAGGTTGATTGTAGGAATGTTTAAAGTTCGCAAAATTGATTTTCAAACCGGAAATATTGCCCAAATTATCAACAAGCTGAACCACTTGAGATAATTGAAGCACGCCGGGAGACCGTGGGCAAGTCGTTATTTCACCAACCCGCAAAAAGGCAAAAAAGGCTGTCGTACACAATTCTACACATTGCCCTAAATAAAAGTGCGCGATATTCACTAGATGCAACGAGAGAAGTCTGTTGTAAAATTGTGCGGAGGATAGAAATAGTGATTGGAAGGCGTGCATCAACACCGGAGCCAAGCTTACCATATCCTTTCAACATTTCGAGAACCCAAAATACCTTTGTAGGGTCATGCACGCCCGTTAAACGGTGACAATAACCTAATGCAGAAACATATGTATTCGCGGTCGAGGCTGCATAATTGCGCTAAAACATGAATGCGATAAATAAACCCAAGTCTGAAGGCGATATGGGCAGTTTGACTGAAGCAGATTGAAAAACTGCAGAAGAAAACTGATTGTAGAGTTTCCATGCCCTGCGATAGGTAGGGATTGACGAAGGCTGCAAACTAGATTGAATTAACCGCGAGGTAATAGCGGCCAATTGTGTGGGAGAAGGTGAGGCGGTATGACTGTCGGTGTTGGCCGAACGCCCACCGGAGCTAGCCGTTTGAACTTCGAAACCTGCAAGCGAGATAAGGAGTCAGCCAAAACATTTGTAACCCCCGCTACATGGCGAGCGCGAAAGAGAATATTAAATTGCAAACAAGCCAGCACCAGGCGTCGAACAAACACCATAACAGTCACATCACGAGAAGTAGCCTTATTTATAATATTAACCAATGCCGCATTATCGGTGAAAAAAGTTATACGCTGGTTACGCATCTGGTCTCCCCACAGAAGAACGCTTAATACGATTGGGTAGAATTCCAAAATCGTTATGTTAAAAGTTTTCCAATTGTCGGGCCAGGCACCGTAACACCACTCAAAACCAAAAAGCGCGCCATAGCCGAAGCTAGCCGCAGAATCAGTGTACAGGTTAAGGCTAGCAGAGTCATGCCACATGTCATTGAGAAAAAACGATCGGCAGTAACATCAAACAGCCCTTGACTCCTCATGAGATACCAGACCGGCCATGGGCAAAGATAGGAGTTGATTTATTCGAGTTCAAGAACACTAACTATCTTCAGTGTGTCGACTACTATTCTAAATTTCCAGAAGTAGCTAAGCTTCCGAGTTTAAAGAGTTCAGCAACCATCACTGCATTAAAGTCAATTTTTGCCCGTCATGGAATACCGGATGAGGTCGTCAGCGATAATGGACCACAGTTCGCAAGTGTTGAATTCAAGAACTTTTCCGAAGTTTGGGAGTTTCTTCACATCACTTCGAGCCCTGGGTATCCTCAGTCCAATGGACAGGTTGAAAGAACAGTCCAAACAGTAAAAAAATTACTAAAGAAAGCTGATGAAAGTGGCCAAGATCCCTATTTATCAATACTGGAATACCGTAATAGTCCTTTGGATAGCGTTAATAAATCGCCAGAACAACTGCTTATGAGTCGCAGATTGAAGAGTCGTCTTCCGACCATTACACCATTGTTACAGCCACAAATCCAACAAAATGTTGTGGAAAAATTGCGATCAAGTCAGCAAATCCAAAAGAAATACTATGACATTGGGTCAAGAGTTCTACCGCCCCTTCGTAAAGGAGAGGCTGCAAGAATGCAAAGGAAAGGAAAGTGGGTACAAGTGACTGTCATTGAGCAACATGATACGGCACCACAATCGTATCTGGTACAGACTCAAGATGGTCAAATATTCAGACGAAATCGACGACACCTTTTAAAGACTAATGAAAGGCAGTGTGACTCATTCAATGAGGACTCAGAAGAGGATACCCCACAGACAGAACACGTACCACTGCAGACAGAACATTTACCAGTTGAAGAAGAGAAGCACGCAAATACAGAAGGAATCCAGATCACGAGATATGGACGCAGAGTGCGTAAGCCACAGCGTTACGGAGTGAATCCAGATTGAGTATCCAGAACATATTTAGTATAACTGTGAGAAAACATTGAGAAAAAAAACATTTAAAACTTTATAATTTCTTCTGACATTTATTAAATCTTCTTGAATGAGGGAGATGTTGAGACTTTGGAATAATTAGTTAGGTATAATTATTACCGAAAAATTACGTGGTACCTTTGTACAACCCTTGAGTTGGGAGCTCCGTTCAAAAGCTATAATCAAATTTGATAATGAGTAATAATTCCTCAGCAAAAGTTAGCTGTTTGCATGGCGTAGCACTCAATAAGAAAGGCAAGTTAACCTGGACAAGATCGTACGAAGATTTGCAGATATTTGTAGAAGAAGTACTTAATTTGACCGACGGAGATTGGGGTTGTCCGAGAGGAACTACAAAGCAGTTTAAATCCGAAGATATTGACTTGCAGTGGTATCCCGATTCACTAACAGTCACCGTAAATGGAAAAAAGAGAGATGAAGTCACGGATAAAATGAAATCAGCTGCCCTAGTTGCATCCGAAAGTCTACTAAATCTAAACAAATCGAACCAAGGTCGCCACGAGGACGAAGGTTATGTTGCTTCGACCCTGAATACTAATGAATCGGAAATTAGCAACGAGTCATACGACCCTAACCTCCCACTTGTTGACGAAGCATTTAAAGATGTTTTTAACTATTTGGAGAATAAAATCAATGATTTGAACACTACATTAAACAGGAAAGTTAATGATCTGAAACAAGAGGTGCTTGGAACAAAAGTTGATGACAAACACATGTTAATAAACGAGCTAAGACGAGAAAATCAAGAGTTAAAGGACGAGAACCAAACTCTTCGGAACAAGATTGAAAATTTAACACTTATAGCTTCGGATATGAACACAAAAATCAAGGACCTTGACAATGAAAGGCTTAGCCTAATTACATCAATAAGACTTCTTCAAGCAGCTCCCTATACCGATACTAATATTGAGCAACAACCGTCTCAAGCACAGAACAAAACAAAACTAAATTCGACGCGAAAACAAGGACAAGGCCGTAGAACCGAGACCGGAGAGCAAACATTCAACTCAGTAATCGCTATGAGGCTCTTAATATTGACGACGATGAGCAACCAGGCATTAATTCAAATGGTAAATCGGATATAACTGATAGGAATCAGGCAGGCATCAACACTCAACCTCAAACACAAGCAACAAACACAAAGTCAATAAAAAGTCCAATCATTATCCTTGGAGACTCTATGGTAAAGATGCTGCAGCCAGCCAAACTCTCGCGTTCTGCTGGGAAAAAAATCCAAGTTAAAACCTTCCCAGGGGCCAAAATAGCGGACATGGAGCATTACGTACAACCAACGCTACGTACAAAGCCCAATACGATTATCTTACATGTTGGTACAAACGACATACAGAACAAGAAACCAGAGGAGCTAGCAGCCGAAGCGAAGGCGTTATGTCAAGGTATAGTAAAACGGAATCCTACTTGCGAAATAGCTATCTCAGAAATTGTAAAACGACAAGATCCGATGTTAAACACTAAGATTCATGAAACTAATAAATTGTTATCGAATCTTTGCGAAGAATCAAATTGGTACTTTATTGATCACAGCAATATAAACACTAGACATCTTAATGGATCAGGTTTACACCTAAATAGGCAAGGTACAGCCTTACTGGCAAAAAACTATATCAATTTTTTTAAAACTTGACTATTTCACAACAAAAGGAATTATACAGCAGATTATATTTCTTTAACTAATCGTAATACTATAGTTAATAATACGCGCCCTGAGCTTAATCACTACACCAAAAATGATTCCAAATGCAACTATCAACATAATTTAAGGAGGGAAGTGATCGAGAATAGTAAAACTGAAGTCCACAACTGCGAACCAAATTCGAATGCTAATAAGCTTAAACCATTTAAATTAAAAGGATTTACTATTGCCCTTCTGAATATCAGAAGTCTAGTGAAAAACCTAGACCAACTTCGTCTTTATCTTTTAAACCAACAATTTGATGTCATTTGTATTAACGAAACTCGGCTTGATGCTACGGTTCCGAATCATGAAGTCGGAATAATGGGTACGAAATTGTACGTAAAGACAGGAACCGAAATGGGGGGGGAGTTGCTATTTACTTAAGAACTCATATAAATTATAGCATAAGAAAAGAGCTGATGTCTAACGAACTTGAAACGATCACAATTGAGATCTCTAAACCTAAATCGAAACCCTTTTTGATAAATTGTTGGTATAGACCACCTGACTCTATGATAGAAATCTTTAATATATATGAAGACCTCGTTAAGAAAATGGACAATGAAAACAAAGAAGTAATATTAATTGGAGATTTCAACTGTGACTGGTCTCAAATTGTAAACAACAATGCCAGTTCCCAGACAAAGAAACTTGCCGAACTCACAAAAACTCTACAATTTGAACAATTAATTAACGAACCTACACGAGTAACTGAGACATCTAAAACACAAATTGACCTAGCTTTTACAAACAAACCAGAAATAATCATGAATACTGGTGTAGACCACATAGGGATTAGCGACCATAGTCTCATATTTATTCAAAGAAAAATCTCAATACAACGAAAAGCGCCAAAAATAATTAAAACAAGGCAATTTAAAAACTACAACGTTGACGAATTCAAACAAGAATTAGCAATTCATTTGCAAACAATCTCAGTAACGAATAACCCGGATGAAATGTGGGATGAATGGAAAGATATATATGTTACAGTAGCTGACAGGCATGCACCACCGATCACTAGGAAAGTAAGAAGTGAACATGCCCCATGGATTACCAGGGAGATTAAAAACTTGATGCATCGTAGGGACTTTTTGAAAAGAAAATCAGTGAAAACTGGATCAAAACAAATCCATGATGCTTTTAGAAAAGCACGAAATGAGCTTAACATTTTGATAAAGAGAACTAAAACCAACTATTTTACAAACACCCTAAACAACTGCGAAAACCAACCAAAACAGATGTGGAAAACAATCAATAAACTTACTAATAAAAATACAAAAACGACCATTATTTCTGAAGTTAAGCACGAAAACCAAAGTTTTACAGATGCTCCATCCATATCAAACACCTTCAATACTTATTTCAACGAAATTGGAACCAACTTAGCTAATAATCTGGAACAAGCTTCAAAATTGCCTGAGTCATACCTCTCCAACTGTAACTCGCAATTCCAGATAAAAAATGTTACTGTAATAGACGTTCACAAAATCCTATCATCTATCGATGTTTCTAAATCATCAGGATATGATAGAATATCTAACAAACTTTTAAAAGACTCAGCTGATATAATAGCACATTCACTCACACTAATATTCAACACGTCTATAAATACAGGCATATTTCCAAATGATTTTAAAACGGCAATAATCACACCAATACATAAATCGGGATGCAAGACCGATTGCAGTAACTACAGACCAATTTCAATTTTATCTAACGTTGCAAAAATATTCGAAAAACTTATCACTCAACAGCTGGAAACTTATCTAGAAAAGAATGATATACTAGTACAACAACAATCTGGTTTTAGAAAATCACACTGCACTCAGACCTCTCTCCTTAATATAACAAATCAATGGTTTGTCAACATGGATAAGGGAAGTTTGAACGGTGTTATCTTCCTTGACCTAAAAAAGGCATTTGACTGTGTTGACCATAGTATTTTGCTAAGGAAACTCTTCCACTATGGAATAAGAGAAAAATCATTTAAATGGTTCCAGTCTTATCTCTCTAATAGGACTCAAATTTGTAAAGTTAATCAAATATTATCTGACAAAAGAATCGTTAAATGTGGTGTACCGCAGGGTTCAAACCTCGGACCATTACTATTTCTATTGTACATAAACGATCTTCCAAATTGCTTGTCAACATCGACTGTTAGCATGTTTGCTGATGATACAAACATTTCAACACAAGGCAAATCGGCAATGGAAATTCAGGATTCCCTAAATCACGACCTAGAGAACATACACCAGTGGCTATTGACTAACAAACTCACTCTGATAAGGAGAAGACCGAATACATGGTAATTGGATCTAGACAAAAGCTCTCTAATATGTCAAATGAACCGGAAATCCACGTAGGTGAAACAAAAATCAAACGAGTAAGTTTTTCTAAAACTCTGGTGTTGTTATAGACGAACACCTTACTTGGGAAAGGCAAATCGAAAACATTCAAACAAAAATTTCAAAAGGTATTGGCACGTTGCGGAGAATGAGAAAATTAGTTCCAAAAACAACATTAAAAAGTCTACAATGCCATTATTCTACCACATTTCGACTATTGTAGCCTTGTATGGGACAATTGCAGTGATTATTTAATTGATAAATTACAAAAATTGCAAAACAGAGCAGCACGCGTAATCACTAGTAAAACATACGAAACGAGATCACGAGATGTTTTAAAAGAACTTCACTGGCAACCCCTGAAAGAACGCTTTAAACGAAAGAAATTAATTTTTACGCACAAGATTAGGAATGACAAAATGCCAAGTACCACAACGAATATGTTTGATATTAAAACAAACTCAAGGTATAACCTCCGTAGCAACAACCGAGATTTCAGCCTTGACAAACCTAATACAAATTTCATGAAAAAAAGCATAAGCTATGCAGCTGCTTCGGCCTGGAATAATTTACCCCCAGAGGCTAAAGACCCAGGCTTGAGTAGCCAGAAGTTTAGATCAATTCTCGGTCACTATTCTCTAGAATGATAAACATTTCCGACGCCTATTGTACTTACTTAAGTAACTGGTAATTTATTTGTATATATTTGTATAGTATAGTGTGTTTTTAACTTGTAAACGAACGGCCTCTTGAAAATCAGGTGCGTAAGAGCCCTGAAGAGCTACCGTTCTAAAATATTTTTAAATAATAATAAAAATAAAAAAATAATAATCGGCCATTAAAATTGGCTAAAAACGACTGCCAAATTTCGAGATCAGCCTTTACCGATTTAGTTAGGCGAATGAAATGATGAGCACACCGTACGCCCTTAGTTAAATCAATAAGACGTCGGAGAAAGGCCCGCTTAGGGACAACGACTGAACAAGCAAAATTGAGCAAACCGGTTAAAGATTGTATCTCGCGTAATGTGACCTTTTTGCGACAAAGAAAGGCCGATATCAATATTGCTTGCATTTGTCAGTTTTATCCAAAGGTAAGCGGGCTTCCATGCGCAAAGTATCTAATTCAATGCCGGCAAAGGAAAGAACGTTGTGTGGGCCGATTGTTTTTTCTGGAGCGATTGGCACGCCTACGTGTTCACAGAGAGACAAAAAGCGAACAAGGTCAATGCGACATTGGTGATAAGTAGGTGCGGCCATTAGATAATCATCGAGAATGTGGATTAGATGCGCGATTGACAAGTGTGTCTTAGCAACCCATTCGATAGCAGTGCTAAACATCTCGAAAGTGCGACATGACGACGCACACCCCATAGGCATAACTCGATCATAATAATATTTGCCTTGCCAAAAAATACCCAAGAGATCGTAATCGGCAGGGCGTATGGGAATAATACGAAATGCGCTTTTGATATCTGTCTTCGCAAGAAAACAACCGCGCCCAAGCTGCTTGATCATAGAAACTGCATCATCGACACGAGCATAGTTCACAGAGGTATGCTCGGGAGCAATCCCATCGTTAACAGAAGCACCGTTCGGAAATGACAAATGGTGAATCAAACGGTACTCCCCTGGAGTTTTCTTAGGAACAACGCCTAGCGGAGAGACTCGAAAATTGGGAAAAGGGGGATTGTCAAAGGGCCCAGCAATGCGATTCGCCGCTAATTCTTTCGAAAGTTTAGCACTAACGATTTCCGGGTTCTGCAGGGCCGAAACAAGATTTGTTGCAAAAAACGATATACGAATGCCTTCAAAATGAAGGGGAAAACCAAATTGAAAACCATTATATAACATAGATGTCAATCGCACATCATATCCACATAGTAGAGGGGAGAGTTTATTAATTTGTACTGGTGTTGGCAGGACGGGACTTGGATGCTGCAGGGGTTGACTGCGAATTTGAGCGTGAGGGACGAAAATTACATCGGAGTGCGGAGTGGACTACACCACATTTAAAGCATTGATGTTTAAAATTACAGCCCGGACAATCGCCGCCCCGATGGAACTTGCGACAAAATCCCCTGGGAACAAATAGGGCAGGAACTGACGCTGGCGAATTAGACCCATGATTACGCGTAGGTAGCTGGGTTTTAGTGAAGCGTGAATGATTGAAATTTTGCGCCCTTATCCACAGTTCCCAGTGAGTGTCGCTCCACGGTGCATCGGCTGGGTTAGTTTGACGCAAAAGACGAAATTGAGCGTCGTAAAAACGCCAGTCACCCCCGCGAGCAGCCAAATCGCGAACAACTTCGCCGTATTTCATCAAAGCGGGGGCCTCCATGGGGAATTTAGTTGTGTACACCCCGACAAAAATTTGAAACGCTTGAAGTCCATGCCTCGATATTAGGGATGGACTTCACTCTGTTGTGTTGGTTCCAAAGATAAAAGCGGAACATTGGAGCCTTCTTGAGGCCCCACCGACAGCTGATAACGAGTATCACAAGCCCCAGAACCAAGCAATAGGCTGAAATCTAAAAATTCATTGGCCCAAATTTTCGACTTCAATTTGGCACTAACGTTTGCTCCGATAGGCAAACTGATGGAATTAAATTTGGAGCTTGGCGTTGGGGACCGCGATACCGGCACTAAATTAGGCTCACCTGATATATTGAGTAAAGCAGACGCCACCGGCCCCTGCATCGTGGCGTCTGCCGTACCCAACACACCCGAAGCAACCACTGGCAATTCACGCGTCTCCGTCGAGAACTCGGGCGGTGTAGATGGGATGGTGTGTGACTGGAGGTTGGCCATGACCGCCTGCGTTGTTTCCGAAATTATTCGGGCAAGAGTAGCTTCTGAGAGGGTAAAATGGTTGGTAGACCCCGCAGAGGTGTTGTCTGTTGTTGGTGCAGTAGTTGGCGCGGACAATGGCTGCGGCAAGGTATTCACCGATGTACTGGGAGCCGTGAGTGGACCGGAGCGGGACGATCGTCGCGGTCGGCCGGGTCGGGTTGGTTGCGTTCGCCTCTTCACTCGTTTACTCGCTCTGGTAGTGGTAGCAGGCATAATTCCGTATAGCAAGAACTAAGGAATAAACAAAGAGCAGAGCAAGAGCGAAACGAATGTCTGTGGTGATACGTAAAATACTATATACCAGAGACACGCCACGCACAATACAATTGAAAAATATTAAAAAAGACAGGAAGAATGGAAAAGGCAGCGGAATAATCATGGCATACAACGAGGTTAGCCGCATTTGATTATCCCGTGATGCTGCAAATACTGAAAATTATCGGGCAATCTGAAAACAACATGCCGCACCAACCCACAATATATTGACTTCAACTGTGGGCATCCGGAAACGTAAAACGCCCTACCCACTAAGACATGCATTTTTTCCTACACAGAACGAACGAGCGATATATGCATAAAACTACATCAGCACGACAAACATCACAAACCACACAACGCATATATAACAAGTAAAATCATGAACTCGTCCTGCGCAGCAAAAAACCCAATGTTGAAATCTCAACGTGGGCATCTGTAAACAGTCATGTTGCTCTAGCCCATATTGAGTAAATCAAACGTATGATAAACGACAAATAAAAATGCGGAGTATGCGTAGTAAGAGATATACAGAAAAACATAATATAATATATGCATAATATATACACGATAAATGAACTACAACAGTGCAAGAGCTTTCAAAATAGCCCCGCGATAGCTCCTATACAAACAATATTGCCCTTGTGTGTTACAATGAACGCCGTCCGTGGATAACAGAACACGGGCGGGATTGAAAAATTCCCGATGTTCCCATAGAAAAGCTGCAACGGTTATTTGAGAAATAATGTTTTTCACAAATTTTTGAGTAAAAAACACAAAAAAAATGAAAATGCTACAACAGCTATTTCAGATTTTTAGGAATGCGTAACATCTCCCCCATTTCTTTCCAATGCTACGTCCATTAACACAAATGCGTCTCATATCTGCACATGTAATTCTGGATATACAGGAGACGGGTTACAAAGTTCGAGTAAAACACAATAAAAAAATAAAATTGCTACAACTGCCATTTTAGATGATGACGAATGCGTAACATCCCCATGTCATTCCAATGCTACGTGCAGTAACACAGATGGATCTTATATTTGCACATGTGATTCTGGATATTCTGGAGATGGATTTAATTGCACTGGTAAGACAACATAAATTTTTTTTACAATATGTTAAGTAAAAAAGAGTAAAGGAAAATAATAAAATGCTACAACAGTTTTTTCAGAAATTATTGTTTTTCACAAATGTTTGAGTAAAACACAAAAAAATGAAAATGCTACTACAGCCATTTCAGATGTTGACGAATGCGTAATATCCCCATGTCATTCCAATGCTACGTGCAATAACACAGATGGATCTTATATTTGCACATGTAATTCTGGCTATTCTGGAGATGGACTTAATTGCACAGGTAAGACAACTGAAATATTTTTTACAAAATGTTAAGTAAAAAAGAGTAAATGGAAAAGAATAAAATGCTACAACTGTTATTTGAAAAATAATGTTTTTCACAAATGTTTGAGTAAAACACAACAAAAAAATGAAAATGCTACAACAGCCATTTCAGATATTACGAATGCGTAACATCTCCCCCATGTTATGTTTATGTTAATTTTATGTTATTAGGTGTATGTTAATTGTTTTATGTTATGCAAATATCGTATAGTGTTTTGTATAAAAGGCCAGAACTTGTTAAATAAATGTGAGTTCATTTTAAAACGTCTCGAGTTTTGGTAAACATAATAATTGGCGACGAGGATTTTGTGGATTACGATGGACGAAGAAGGGCAAGCTGCCCAGCCAAATGTTGGTTTTAATCTGTCGTTCATGGGACATATAGAAGAATATTCGTCGAATAATGACTGGAAGCAATACGTCGAACGGCTTGAAATATTTTTCGAAGTGAACAATGTACCTACGGAGAAACAAGCATCGAGCATACTTACCTTAATGGGTAGTAAGATGTATGCTTTGCTCAGATCTATTACAGCACCGAGAAGACCGAAAGAACTAACGTATCAAGAAATTGTAGAGACGTTGACTCAACATTTGGAGCCAAAACCGATCGTTATTGCCGAGCGATACAAGTTCCACAAGGCTGAACAAGAACAGTCTGAATCGATAAGGGATTATCTCGCTAAATTACAGAGACTAGCTGAAACTTGTGAATTTGGTGGCTATCGAGACGAAGCGATTCGAGACCGATTTGTGTGTGGATTACGAAACCGGGTGATTCAACGCAAGCTACTAGGTGAAGCGGAATTGACTTTAAAGTTAGCCGTGGAAAAAGCTTGCGCAGCGGAACTAACGGACAGAGAAACTTCAGCCTTGCATGGAGAATCGTTGCACCGACTAGAGACCGTATTACCCGAGTGTTTTCGTTGTGGCAAGAAGAATCACGTTCCGGACAAGTGCTTCTTTCGAAAGTCGAAATGTCATGGTTGTCAAAATTATGGACATATAATTAAGAAATGTCCCGAGAGATCTGGCAACAATAACTGGAAGAAAACAAGATCTGGAAAGTCGAAAGGGAAGGATGAAAAGAGGAAAAAAAAGAAACCGAGCGGAATCCATAACGTAAAGACAGATAGCGACGTTGAAAGTGACCGGGAAAGCCAAGAAGAGGTTATGGATACAACATGGCCGGTGTTTATGTTGACTGATTCGGGGAGAAAACATACAGAGCTGAAAGTACTCGTATCGATTGAAGGAAAACCAGTAACGATGGAAGTGGATACGGGAGCTGCGGTGTCAATTATGCCAGAAAGCGTCTGGAGGAAATTGTCGTCAACAAAACCAGTACGAAAGTCCAACGTTAAATTGCGAAGTTATTCCGGACACGAAATTCCGGTGTTGGGTGAAATTGATGTGGGCGTGGTGTATGGGAACCAAAAGGCTCATCTACCTGTTATAGTGACTAATAATGAAGGCCCTGTTCTATTAGGTCGCAACTGGTTGTCGGTGTTAAAGCTGAATTGGAGTCAAATAAAGAAAGTTTCAATTAAGCGGGTCAACAATGTGGAGCAACTAACTAGTCAGTATTCCTCGTTATTTGATGATTCGTTGGGTACGGTCAAAGGAGTGAAGGCACATTTGAAGATGAAGCCAAACGCGACGCCCAAATTTTTCAAACCCAGACCTGTTCCATTTGCTCTGAAAGACAAAATCGGCGAGGAACTAAACCGGTTGGAGGAACTCGGGGTGTTGGAAAAGGTCGAGTTCTCCGAGTGGGCAACTCCAATCGTGCCTGTATTGAAACCAGATGGAAGTGTACGGATATGTGGGGATTATAAAGTCAGCATTAATCCATGTCTTGATGTGCAAGAATATCCAATGCCTACTGCTGAGGAATTATTTACAAAACTAAACGGGGGCGAGAAATTCTCGAAGATTGATCTATCATCTGCGTATCAACAAGTTCTTTTGGATGACGAGTCAAAGCCATATGTTACGATTAACACTCATTTGGGGCTATATCGGTACACGAGATTGCCTTTTGGAGTAGCCTCAAGCCCAGCCATTTTCCAAAAGACTATGGACGTGGTGTTGAATGGTCTACAAGGAGTTGGAGGTATTCTTGATGATTTGATCATTACGGGCAAGAATGATGAGGAACATTTGCGAAATCTCGACAGCACTCTTAATCGTCTTCAGAGTATGGGAATTCAGCTGAAGAAATCGAAGTGTGTGTTCCTGCAACCCTCAGTGGAGTATTTTGCATTTGTGGTGGATCGACAAGGAATCCATCCTTCGCCTCGTAAAGTTCAAGCCATTCGGGAAGTTCCAATTCCAGAAAATCCAACAGATTTAAAGTCATTCTTAGGTTTAGTGAACTATTATCGCAAGTTCATTCCGGATATGGCAACTTTGGTAAATCCTCTTAATCGGTTGCTATCCCAAGATGTTCCTTGGAACTGGTCCGACGACTGTCAGAAGGCATTTGAAACTTTAAAGTCAGCTTTGGAGAAGTCACCATTGTTAACGCATTACGACCCCAAGAAATCCGTGAGACTAGCTGCTGATGCATCGTCCTGTGGAATAGGAGCTGTACTATCGCATGTATCTGATGATGGAGAAGAACAACCAATAGCTTATGCGTCTCGAACACTCTCCGCTAGTGAACAAAATTATTCCATGATCGAAAAAGAGGCCTTGGCAATAATTTTTGGATTGAAGAAGTTTCACCAGTACCTATATGGACGGCGTTTTTCGTTAATAACTGATCACAAGCCTCTCACGTTGATTCTGGGACCTAAACGTGGTGTTCCTGTGTTAGCAGTATCACGTCTGCAGAGATGGGCGATTCAACTTGGGGCGTATCAATATGATATCGAATATCGAACTTCCAAGAATAATGCTAATGCTGATGCGTTGTCCCGGTTGCCGAGGAAAGTTGTGGAAGAGCCAGATGGGTGGACTTCAGAAGCTGAAGAAGTAAATCGAGTTCAACTGGAACGGGCACCGATTTCGGTTTGTATGATCCGAGAAGCTACGCAAAAAGATCCTGTTTTGTCTCGCGTGGTTTATTTCTTGTTGCATGGTTGGCCAGAGGAAGGTAGTTTGCATGAGGAACTTCGATTTTACTTCACCAAGCAAGACGAATTTACTGTAGAAGAAGGCTGTCTTCTTAGAGGAACCAGAGTGGTGATTCCAACTAGATATCAAGAGCAAGTGTTGATGGAGTTACATATGAATCATCCAGGAATGGTGCGAATGAAATCTTTGGCACGTTTACATGTGTGGTGGTCAACATTGGATCAAGACATTGAACAGACTGTCAGAGATTGCACCAGTTGTCAAGCTAACCGTTGTAAGTCCCCCTTGAAAGTGAGTAATCCTTGGATTTGGCCAGTGCGTCCATGGCAAAGAATTCATATAGACTTTGCGGGTCCACTGGATGGTGTGATGTATTTGGTGGTGGTAGATGCCAAGTCTAAATGGATTGAAGTCCTATCAATGTCATCAACTACCGCTGCTGCCACGGTTCGAGCGTTACGTTTCCTGTTTTCAGTTCATGGTCTACCCGAAGAGATCGTGTCAGATAATGGTCCTCAATTTGTGGCGGAAGAAATGAAAGAGTTCTTAAAGTTGAATGGAATTCGACAACGTCGTTTATCATCGCCGTATCATCCAGCTTCAAATGGTGAGGCAGAAAGAGCAGTCAGAACGTTTAAAGACGCCATGAAGATTCGTAAGAAGGAAGAGGGATCTGCTGGGGAGAAATTGGCACGTTTTCTGTTGGGATATCGCACGACTCCACACACTGCTACGGGTTGCACGCCAGCTGAAATCCTGATGGGTCGAAGACTCCGAACCAGATTGGACATTTTGCATCCTAGTTTGTCTGCTAAGATGGAGCGAAAATCCAAAGATTTACCACAAACTCCACCGCGTAACTTGGAAATTGGAGATCCAGTAATGGTGAAAGACTATCGACCACGAAAGGATCCATGGATAAAAGGAGTAGTTCAAATGAAGTTAAGTCCAATTACTTATAGAGTTCAGGTTGGTGATCTGTTTTGGAAACGACATGTGGATCAATTACGAAGTCTCGCCGGATCAACTGCAGCTGATGTTATGTCACCACCAACTGCTTTATCTTCAACGCCGGAAGTCAGTGTGGCAAGTAATGGCAACCCAGGACAAACCATTGAGGCGAGTTCCACTACCACCTTAATCCCGAAAACAGACTCACTATCTCCAGTTCCACTACCAACATCAACGAATACAGAAGAACCTATTACTGGTATTATAAACGGTGGGGAAAAACTTTCAAGTACTCGCAGGTATCCAATTCGTATTCGCACGAATCCAAAACGTTTAATCGAAGAAGTATAATCTCTTAATAGACTTTGAAATGCCTCTATTTATCGGTAAAAGAATTAAAAAAAAATAGAAATAGAATAAGTAGATTTATTATAGTTACATAGATATAATTACTAAGAGTACTGACCATTAACATTGAACTCTCAGTTTTGTGGCGGAGGAAATGTTATGTTTATGTTAATTTTATGTTATTAGGTGTATGTTAATTGTTTTATGTTATGCAAATATCGTATAGTGTTTTGTATAAAAGGCCAGAACTTGTTAAATAAATGTGAGTTCATTTTAAAACGTCTCGAGTTTTGGTAAACATAATAATGTTAAGTAAAAAAGAGTAAATGGAAAAGAATAAAATGCTACAACTGTTATTTGAAAAATAATGTTTTTCACAACAAAAAAATGAAAATGCTACAACAGCCATTTCAGATATTACGAATGCGTAACATCTCCCCCATGTCTTTCCAATGCTACGTCCATTAACACAAATGCATCTCATATCTGCCCATGTAATTCTGGATATACAGGAGACGGGTTTAACTGCACAGGTTATATAACGGAGATAATGTTTATTACAAAGTTCGAGTAAAACACAATAAAAAAAAAATTGCTACAACTGCCATTTCAGATGTTGACGAATGCGTAACATCCCCATGTCATTCCAATGCTACGTGCAATAACACAGATGGATCTTATATTTGCACATGTGATTCTGGATATTCTGGAGATGGATTTAATTGCACAGGTAGGACAACAGAAATATTTTTCACCAAATTTTAAGTAAAGAGTAAATGGAAAATAATAAAATGCTACAACAGTTATTTCAGAAATTATGTTTTTCAGAAATGTTTGAGTAAAAAAATGAAAATGCTACAACAGCCATTTCAGATCTTTACGAATGCGTAATATCTCCCCCATGCCTTTCCAATGCTACCTCCATTAACACAAATGCATCTGATATCTGCACATGTAATTCTGGATGTACAGGAGACGGGTTACAAAGTTCGAGTAAAACACATTAAAAAAATAAAATTGCTACAACTGCCATTTTAGATGTTGACGAATGCGTAACATCCCCATGTCATTCCAATGCTACGTGCAGTAACACAGATGGATCTTATATTTGCACATGTGATTCTGGCTATTCTGGAGATGGATTTAATTGCACAGGTAGGACAACAGAAATAATTTTCACCAAATGTTAAGTAGAAAAAGTAAGTGGAAAATAATAAAATGCTACAACGGTTATTTGAGAAATAATGTTTTTCACAAATGTTTTAGTAAAACACACAAAAAAAATGAAAATGCTACAACAGCCATTTCAGATATATACGAATGCGTAACATCTCCCCCATGTCTTTCTAATGCTACGTCCATTAACACAAATGCATCTCATATCTGCACATGTAATTCTGGATATACAGGAGACGGGTTTAACTGCACAGGTTATATAACGGAGATAATGTTTTTTACAAAGTTGGAGTAAAACACAATAAAAAATATAAAATTGCTACAACTGCCATTTTAGATGTTGACGAATGCGTAACATCCCCATGTCATTCCAATGCTACGTGCAGTAACGCAGATGGATCTTATATTTGCACATGTGATTCTGGCTATTCTGGAGATGGATTTAATTGCACAGGTAGGACAACAAACTGAAATATTTTTCACCAAATGTTAAGTAAAAAAAGTAAGTGGAAAATAATAAAATGCTACAACGGATATTTGAGAAATAATATTTTTCACAAATGTTTGATTAAAACACAAAAAAAAAATGAAAATGCTACAACAGGCATTTCAGATATTTACGAATGCGTGACATCTTCCCATGTCTTTCCAATGCTACGTCCATTAAGTCAAATGCATCTCATATCTGCACATGTAATTCTGGATATGCAGGAGACGGGTTTAACTGCACAGGTTATACAACGGAGATAATATTTTTCACAAAGTTAAAGTAGAACACAATAAAAAAAAAATATGCTACAACTGTCATTTTAGATGTTGACGAATGCGTAACATCCCCATGTCATTCCAATGCTACGTGCAGTAACACAGATGGATCTTATATTTGCACATGTGATTCTGGATATTCTGGAGATGGATTTAACTGCACAGGTAGGACGATAGAAATATTTTTCACCAAATGTTAAGTAAAAAAGAGTAAGTGGAAAATGATAAAATGCTACAACGGTTATTTGAGAAATAATGTTTTTCACAAATTTTTGAGCAAAACACACAAAAAAAATGAAAATGCTACAACAGCTATTTCAGATTTTTAGGAATGCGTAACATCTCCCCCATTTCTTTCCAATGCTACGTCCATTAACACAAATGCGTCTCATATCTGCACATGTAATTCTGGATATACAGGAGACGGGTTACAAAGTTGGAGTAAAACACAATAAAAAAATAAAATTGCTACAACTGCCATTTTAGATGATGACGAATGCGTAACATCCCCATGTCATTCCAATGCTACGTGCAGTAACACAGATGGATCTTATATTTGCACATGTGATTCTGGATATTCTGGAGATGGATTTAATTGCACTGGTAAGACAACATAAATTTTTTTTACAAAATGTTAAGTAAAAAAGAGTAAAGGAAAATAATAAAATGCTACAATAGTTTTTTCATTAAATATTGTTTTTCACAAATGTTTGAGTAAAACACAAAAAAAATGAAAATGCTACAACAGCCATTTCAGATGTTGACGAATGCGTAACATCCCCATGTCATTCCAATGCTACGTGCAATAACACAGATGGATCTTATATTTGCACATGTGATTCTGGATATTCTGGAGATGGATTTAATTGCACAGGTAGGACAACAGAAATATTTTTCACCAAATTTTAAGTAAAGAGTAAATGGAAAATAATAAAATGCTACAACAGTTATTTCAGAAATTATGTTTTTCAGAAATGTTTGAGTAAAAAAATGAAAATGCTACAACAGCCATTTCAGATCTTTACGAATGCGTAATATCTCCCCCATGCCTTTCCAATGCTACCTCCATTAACACAAATGCATCTGATATCTGCACATGTAATTCTGGATGTACAGGAGACGGGTTACAAAGTTCGAGTAAAACACATTAAAAAAATAAAATTGCTACAACTGCCATTTTAGATGTTGACGAATGCGTAACATCCCCATGTCATTCCAATGCTACGTGCAGTAACACAGATGGATCTTATATTTGCACATGTGATTCTGGCTATTCTGGAGATGGATTTAATTGCACAGGTAGGACAACAGAAATAATTTTCACCAAATGTTAAGTAGAAAAAGTAAGTGGAAAATAATAAAATGCTACAACGGTTATTTGAGAAATAATGTTTTTCACAAATGTTTTAGTAAAACACACAAAAAAAATGAAAATGCTACAACAGCCATTTCAGATATATACGAATGCGTAACATCTCCCCCATGTCTTTCTAATGCTACGTCCATTAACACAAATGCATCTCATATCTGCACATGTAATTCTGGATATACAGGAGACGGGTTTAACTGCACAGGTTATATAACGGAGATAATGTTTTTTACAAAGTTGGAGTAAAACACAATAAAAAAAATAAAATTGCTACAACTGCCATTTTAGATGTTGACGAATGCGTAACATCCCCATGTCATTCCAATGCTACGTGCAGTAACACAGATGGATCTTATATTTGCACATGTGATTCTGGCTATTCTGGAGATGGATTTAATTGCACAGGTAGGACAACAGAATTAATTTTCACCAAATGTTAAGTAGAAAAAGTAAGTGGAAAATAATAAAATGCTACAACGGTTATTTGAGAAATAATGTTTTTCACAAATGTTTTAGTAAAACACACAAAAAAAATGAAAATGCTACAACAGCCATTTCAGATATATACGAATGCGTAACATCTCCCCCATGTCTTTCTAATGCTACGTCCATTAACACAAATGCATCTCATATCTGCACATGTAATTCTGGATGTACAGGAGACGGGTTTAACTGCACAGGTTATATAACGGAGATAATGTTTTTTACAAAGTTGGAGTAAAACACAATAAAAAAACTAAAATTGCTACAACTGCCATTTTAGATGTTGACGAATGCGTAACATCCCCATGTCATTCCAATGCTACGTGCAGTAACGCAGATGGATCTTATATTTGCACATGTGATTCTGGCTATTCTGGAGATGGATTTAATTGCACAGGTAGGACAACAAACTGAAATATTTTTCACCAAATGTTAAGTAAAAAAAGTAAGTGGAAAATAATAAAATGCTACAACGGATATTTGAGAAATAATATTTTTCACAAATGTTTGATTAAAACACAAAAAAAAAATGAAAATGCTACAACAGGCATTTCAGATATTTACGAATGCGTGACATCTCCCCATGTCTTTCCAATGCTACGTCCATTAAGTCAAATGCATCTCATATCTGCACATGTAATTCTGGATATGCAGGAGACGGGTTTAACTGCACAGGTTATACAACGGAGATAATATTTTTCACAAAGTTAAAGTAGAACACAATAAAAAAAAAATATGCTACAACTGTCATTTTAGATGTTGACGAATGCGTAACATCCCCATGTCATTCCAATGCTACGTGCAGTAACACAGATGGATCTTATATTTGCACATGTGATTCTGGATATTCTGGAGATGGATTTAATTGCACTGGTAAGACAACATAAATTTTTTTTACAAAATGTTAAGTGAAAAAGAGTAAAGGAAAATAATAAAATGCTGCAACGTTTATTTCAGAAATAATGTTTTTCACAAATGCTTGAGTAAAACACAAAAAAAATGAAAATGCTACAACAGCAATCACAGATATTTACGAATTCGTAACATCTCCCCCATGTCTTTCTAATGCTACGTCCATTAACACAGATGCATCTTATATCTGCATAATGATGTATTTCTGGATATACAGGAGACGGGTTTAACTGCACAGGTTATATAACGGAGATAATGTTTTTTACAAAGTTCGAGTAAAACACAATAAAAAATAAAA